TCATCCCGCTTATCTTTCGCCTTCTGCTGCTTTGAAGTACGTTTTGAATTTCCGCCGAAGATGTGCGCCCAGTCGTCCGTTCCGCCAGCAGCACCGGCACCAACAACACCCCCTGGTTCCGTCGTGACCACGGCTTCATCGTCAGACTCAGAGTCGGAGCTAGAGCACGCATATGCGACGACACCACCTCCGCCGCTTGCCGTTGTTGTTGCCGTGGATCGCGGGTCGCGGTTTGCGCCGCTGGTGGCGGGTTCGCTGCTTCGCTGCTTCTCGCTTCTCTGTGGTGGTCGCTCTGTGCGGTGTGTCCTGTGTTCCTGTGGTCTTGGTCTTCGGTCTTCGGTCTTTGGTCTTTGCGTCTTTTCTCTCCTCTCTTCTTGTACAAAAGTCAAGTAGTTTGAATCAACAGTAATCAAGGTTTAAACAACGAATGTTTTTAATTAACACCGAATCTCCAATCTCCAGATCTACAATTTGTTGTCTGATCTGTGGACTTGAAACTAAAGAGTTAAAAACCAAGAGGCTTTGAAGGGGATAAAAAAGCTCGGTTTTGGTTACAATGAGCTGTCTGAGCGTCTGAGCCACCCCTTACCCCCATCTCACTCGTGCATATTCACCGCTACATGCACAATAACCCCTGTTATGCACACTTTTATGCATAAAATATATGTATATATATGCGCGCTCCAACTTATGCTTTTGCTTATGCACGAAAGGCCCAGTTATGCGTAAATATAAGCATGCATAACAGGTCGGGGCCTGAATGTCGATATCATGGAATCGTGAAGGGGCTCCGTGGATGAAAACAGGTTGCCTGCGTAGGGGCGTGGAGGTGAGCGCCCAATCGTGACATGCCTTCTGAACCCTTTTGTGACTGGGTTTTCCCTGGATCTTCCGAGGGTCTTTTTTTCTTAACTGGGCGAAGAGACCGCTGACAACCACCGTCTCCCGTTCTCCACACACCCTACCGGTATCTCCCACATGCACTCGAGTACACATGGTCGCATCCACACGCCACTCCCTTGCTCACACAAACCTTCGGTATGTAACAGCAGAACAACACACATCAGGGCTCATCGGTGACTGCTGTACGAGCTGGGCGTGAACTGGGGGGCTCGATCGAGAGAGGCAGACACATTGTCTTCACCCCGCACTGCTGCTGCTGTGAACTGAACTCGGGTACCCACATGGAATAGCTCTAGTAATATCACTGCTGTCCGCCCGCGGCCGAGGCAGCACGCCCCGCCCGCGAGGCCTGGCACCTCCTAACGTTCCACTTTCAGTGCTCCTTCGTTGGGAGCGACGAGACATGTCCACGCACGAACGATTATGACGTCGGGAAAAAATCCGAACAAACATCCAACCGTCGGCAGCACACCAGCAGCAGAAGCAGCAGCAGTAGCAGTAGCAGCAGCCTCGTGGTATGACATTCGGTTGAAAAGAGACGCCGATTCGCATACGTAGAGGGGACCCGTCGAGAGGCATCGCAAGGTGGACCCTTACTCCTGTGCGCCAGCGATAACTTGGGCACAAAACGAACAAAAAAACTGATGCAACCAACTTCTGTGTGTACGAATCACAAAATAACGCAATATCGGGTCAAATAGAATAAGTTCGTGCAAAATTATCAATTTCTATACTACAGATAGAGGGGGAAGATCGGAGCTGTGATCGGAGTTGTAGTCCCGAAAACCCTTGCTCTTGTGAGCGAAAAGTGGCCGGGGACGATAGTCTCCTTGCCTCTCCTACCTCTCTACCTTGAGGCACAACAGCAGCAGCAGAAGTAACCCAATCACTACCATCATCATGGACTCAAGAGGAAGTTGCTCAGTTTTGGCAGCACATGGCAGACCAATGGCATCCCGAGACGGCTCCACGTGTTGCTTGGATGAGCTGCTGGCCATCGCGAACTCCACGCCAGACCAACTTCCCGACGCCACGGCTGCTGCAGCCCGGGCGGTAGGACAGCGCTACTGTCAACACGGGGCAGCAGAGCCGCAGCTCCTACCCGAGATCAACAACCTTGCGGAAAGGAAGACCGCGGCGCAGCAGCACCCCGGTCTCTGCGGGTACCATTGTGTAGGGGACGCCACTGCTGCTGTGCTGCTGTCCCCGTCGTTATTTCGTTCCTTTTCGACGGTCTACTCGTCCAGTCCAGCCATCGTCGACGCAGGTATCCACAGCTCAATTCGGGCTCAATTCGGTTCGATAATGTCGCATTAAAGAGTCATCGGAGCTGGGAACGGAGCTCATTCGTGGGTGTAGTCATGTAAGGGTTAACCCACACGAATAAGCACGGGTACCAAATACCGTAAATGACACAAAATAACACACCCCCCGGACCGAGTTTTCAAGTCTCGATTTNAATGGTTAACCCAAACGAATGAGCACGGGTACCGAATACCGTAAATGACACAAAATAACACACCCCCCGGACCGAGTTTTCAAGTCTCGATTTCTCAACATCAGCTTAAAATCACAGCGCCGAAACGGTGGCCTTGAAGCCGTTCCGTCGAGACCTTTCCGAAAATGTATTGTCTGACTTCTGCATCATCAGGCGTAATCGAGCTTTGAAAATTGCTCTAGGGGGTGTGTTATCTTGTGTCATACGGTAATAAAATTCTACCATATGCAGCTGAGCGCGACAGGGCAGACCGCGGGGAAGGCCGTTCCCCAGGCAAAAGCAATTAAAGAGTTTGTGTGCTACGATACGAGCTGGACCGTCGAGGCCCTCCCGACTGTGGCCTTGTCGAAAAGTCGAGGTTGTCTACCGGCGGCGAGGGCGTCTAGTTGGTCGGGACAGGGTAGGTCTGTTTGCCCTGACTCTACGCGCCGGTGCTTGCGCTGGGGCAGGCCAACAAAGAAGACAATGGCGGAGTTTTGCGGGGGGGGCGNGGGCGCGGCAGCGGCGGCGAAGAGAGCCATCGGGGCTTTGTGCCGTCACGGGAGAGGTGATCGACCATCAGAGGGACTTCTGATGAATATTCGTCCCGCAGAAGGTCGATCACCTCGCCCGTGAATGCACGAGATGCCCTTCTTTGCCGCGGCTGCCACGCCCGTTCCCCGTTCTCACGGGTGTCCGCCCCCCGCAGAGACTCCGTCGTTTTTCTTTGTGGCCTGCCCCAGCGCAATCACCAGGGGTATGTAGAGTCAGGTCAAACAGCCCTACCCTGTCCCAAGCGGTCATCGATGGAGAAGTATGGGGGAAAAATTCAGGCAGCGACAGGGAATAAAAGGCCAACATGTAAGCCCTGGCCCCTCAGGCACGCTGAAGGGGGAGTGCGATCGTCCCTAGCAAGGAACAGGAGCGCTCAGGCACAATAAGCCCTCTCAAGCAGCCCTCTCCCGGAAACGAGCTCTCAGGCAAGTCCTAAGGCATGCCTGAGGGTTCAGGGCTACCAACATGTAACATGAAGTATGGGTGGATCCCGTGCCTTAGCAGGAGCCCTACAGGGCGAGCGCACGAACAGCAATGATGTGTTTTCGTTTCAACTCATGACAACCCGGAAGGTTGTACCGTAAGAGGTGGAGATATGGCACCCACATCGACCGATATTCAAAGCTCGATTGCTCCACAACCAGGCTTGTGGCAACACCAAAAATGGAGGTTTTGGAAACATGTCGTCCAGGGCTTCCGTGGACGTATCGGGCTCTTTTACGCCCCCCCTTGGCTGTGGAGCAGTCGACCTTCGAAAGTCGGCCTAAGGGGTGCCATCTCTCCACCCTCTACGGTACACGTGGAACGGAGGGATGTTAGAACCCTTCATATATTTTGTTACTATCACACAACAAGTCCATCTCTATCTACAGAAATACGTCTAAGATAGATTAGCAATGAATCCATAGCGTGAGCGAAAGGCTACCTGTGTCTGTACGGTTTCCCAGACAGCATACAACGATAACTCCCCTGTGGGTAACAGGCTCAACAAGGCAATTTGGTAGCCATCTTGTGTATCTATCTGTATTTTATGTTGGGAAGTTGTAGACGGAAGATTAAGGGGAACTCGGTTTGTCAGGTGTTCTATCATAGCAACGTTATGTGGTTGCGGAGCAAGCGCGTCTCGGGGAGTGTATAGTTTCGTCATCAACTTATTTTTTGTTTGTGATGTATGGGGGCATATGCGGCGCGCGAGAACACTATCTCATCATTGCCTCCTGACGTGGCCGCCGATAGAGGCGTGTGGTTGGGGTTTCATCACTGACATGTGTGTGTGTGTTAAATGCAGTGGGTATGGTCGCCTCTTTCGCCCGTGTGTCGGCAGAAGGTATAGCTACCTTTCCCATATTTTTTTAGGCAGCGCGGACCATAAGTAAAGACAGAGTGTATCATTTCATGCATCTACATCATTTGTATGTTGTTGTTGTCTTTACATTAAAAACCGTTGCGATCTCTCTCTACCCGGTACCGTCGTATGTCCGTACTGATCCAACACTCGACGTGGCCGATTCCCGTCGTGGCAGGTTGACTTACCCTGAAAAGGTACACTCAAATATAATTGCCCCGAGGGGTCCGCAAGTCAATAGAAATCAACGACAGATCAGATTCTGGAGTCCTCCATTCCCTCTGCGCGCTTATACGAGGTAACACCTGAGACCAGGGTTACCATCACGGGCCGGAGAGAATGAGGTACACCCCCTTGGTTCAATCTTGGTACATCACAACGCAAGCAGAGACAATGCCATCTTGCACAGAAAAAGACAAAAAGACAAAAAGCGAAGAAAAGTATGTGGAAGAGAGGAATAAGAGGTTGTTCTAGCTTTCTAGCAGTTTTGACGGTGTTGTGTATGGGGGGAATACTCCCTGTGTCCGTGTTGTTCCCAGTTGTTGTCGCATCAAGTGGCAGATGTGTCATGGACAGGTAGACGTGGAAGGGCGGCGATATGTGAACAGCAGCAGCAGTATGTTGTGCATGGTGGCATGTTGGGCTTGTACAAAGTCGCAGTCCATCTTCGACCACACACGAAGGAGTTTGTTTGTACGTGTCGGAGTTTTGGAGGGCCCAAGGCAGTCGCAAGCAGCTGTAGGAAGGAGCGAACGGGCGCAGTGCTCTCTACAGCTTTAGAATCCGTCCTCCTCAAATCCTAACGGAGATGATTACCTATCACACAACGGCTGGATCTCACACAACGGCTGGATCCGAATTGCCGGCTAGCTCCGAAAACCAGGAGAGGTGGGGGAGTAGCTCAGACGAATGACTGCGTGCGCGCTCCTTCATGTGCATACTTGGCTGACTCTTTGAAGGGTAGAACTCTGGTTCGGCGTCATTTGACGGCATTTCGGCATTCCAGTATTTGCCATTGTCACCTGGATGCATGGGAATTTTGGCGAGGAAGTCGGTCATAAGTTTCTCACTCTACTCAAAACCCTTTCGTTTTACGCTTCGACGATTACAGTTCTACGTATTCTTAATGTGCTCCGCCCTGACGAGTCCGAGGCTGTGCTGTGTTTGTTGCATTCGTTCACGGCCAATTGATTCGAAATGAAAGTAACCCTAGACTCACTGGCGAACGGCTTCGAAAAAGTCGCCGACGCCAGCCGGTGCCGGATCGGTAGCGGCGGGAGCTCATTCATTCCTGTTCCATTAACCTGTATGTGACAGCGAGAGCTTCTTTTTCTTCAAGCGTGGAAGTCTTGGCGTAAAGAAGAGCTGCTTGCTGTCTACACTTCACCATTTTGGACACAGCTGTTCAGCAACGGCCCCCGTGTGTACCCTACGCTGCTAGGTGGCCGCCCAGCTTTGCGCTCTTTCTACTGCAGCACCTCGACCACCCGGCTGGTTTGATTCATGTACAGCTGTATCAAGATCTACCATCATCACACTCTGCTTGCTAGCCTACTGAAAAAAGCAACCTGACTTCGAGTAAACCTCTGTGAAAATTGTGCGCGCTGTGAACGCTGGTCCTCTTGCCAGGTGTTCTTCTAGTGTAAGGTCCATTGGCAAATCACACTTGGCGTGGCTGCTCAATGCTGGAATCTTGGACAATTCTGGAATCAAACAATGCGAAAAACGGCGCCGAGGATCGGCGGGACGTCTGTAGATACCGTTGTTGCCGTCAGAGAGATACTTGCTTAGCATGCTTAAGCATCCTTGGTCTCGAGCAAAGATCTTGCGGAAAGATCAGCACAATTTTCCCTCGCGCTTGCCAGGCAGGCTTACTTCTTCTGGAGCTCGTGCGCTGGCGACCAAACTGGCGCGTGGCTGTTTAGGACGAATCTGGAATCTATTCGGAGAATGTCACAGACGGGCGGGGTTGTTGAGGAAACTGCTGTTGTTGTTGTGGCTCGGGAGGATGGTCGAGATCGAGGAGCAGCTGCAAAGAATTTGTTCCCACGAGGAGTTCGGACGCGATCACTTAACTCCTTCAGGTACTACTGCTGTAAGAGCCTCGTACGGAGAGAGAGTTTCGCTATTGGTCTACTGCATGAAATACATGGAGCGCACATGCTGTAGTAGCCTCGTGACGCGTTTCGCACATGTGTACAGACCCGGAGATAAAGAAGAAACCTCGACGTCAGGTCGAGGCTGGGGTTCTTACATCGTCACCACTACTGTTGAGCACAGGTTGTTTTTGTACAGTTCGGTGTAGGGTCGACCGCTGAGCTATTGCTTTCGGTCTATCTTCTTGTTTTTCGTGAATATCTAACGTAATGTCATGGCTGCGGGCCAAAGCCGAGGCCACAAAAAACGCATAGGACATCCAAAATATCAATGGCCTATGATGATCAGATAGACAAAACATGTAAATGACGGGTATGTTTAAGATGAAAAGAGAAGATTCACATGCGTAAGAAAGAGTGAACGCAGGGAGTTCGTGTTTGCCTCCTGTAAGGGTGGCGTCAGCGCCGCGCCCCCCCTCTCTCTCTGTCTGTCTTCTCTCTTTCTCTTTCGACCGGTGTAGTTTGCTCCGAAGGTCACTCTGGGCGATAAATGACCGTGTGCACAACGGTTTGGGTGCCCCGATTGGGAGAACACGTGAGCGCCTTAGCTCACGCCTGGTACCTACGAGCATAGAGCTTGGAATCGTGGGTTCCGAATGTGGTCGCAGATGCTTGCTGGAGCAGCCGCTCAGACGTGTTGTTCTCTTGGTTCTCGGGGCTTGTCAAACGTTTGCTTCGATTCGCCCGTGTACCACACCGACAAATAGACGTTCTTCAGAATTCAGAACTCAAACGACATACCTGGTATCATAGGACACGAGATACCTGCCGTCCGAATGGTTCGGTCGGATACGCTTTCATTGCGAGATAATCTGCATCCGCAAACGTTTGGCCGAGTACCGGCCGTCTGTGTCGCTCGGCCCGCAACGCTTACTTTGCGAGAGATGTCTATCTGCGTTCGGAAACGTTTATCGAGGGGTTTCTCTCGTGCTCCCATCTTCTTTGGACCTGAGCTCTCCGTCCCTCTGGTTGCATCTCTGCCTGCATGTGCCGGTGATTATTCTGTCAGTTGTTGCGTCATCCTGCTGGCAGCACTCGCAGCGATCAAACTGGGTCTAGCGGAAGGCACCTGTGAGTGGCGAGCCTCACGATGTATTGTTGATTTTGCTGGGAAGAACCCGCCGCAGCATTCGAAATGATTTCAAGTCAGCGCACGGGACTGCTGCTATAGTTTTTTGTCATTTATTTGGCGTTTGCCGTTACATTGGATAAAGTAAGCCAGTGACCACGGGAATCGACCACGTCAAGTGGTAGATCAGTACGGACAGATGGAGGTATGGGCATGGGCATGGGCAGGAGATCGGAACGGGTTGGAATGTGAAGACAACAGGAACAACATGTTTCGCGCCATTCATGTCGGCCATGACATTGGTTGAACGGTTTCTCCTCGTTTGCCGCGTTGCTGCTGCTGCTGCTGCTGCTGCTGCTGCTGTTAATGTTCCGTGCCGTGCAGTGCTGCTTGACTTGCCATCGGGTTTGAAGTGCGCTTGGTACAACCTGCCGCACCCTGCTCAGTACGCGATATTGATCATGGTGAGTGCGCGCCTCGATTTTCCCAGATGCTGCTGCGGAGAGTCCAATTCCAAGGTACACCGCACGAACGCCCCCCACTGCCGCCAGAGTGCCGATTGAAGCTAAACAACTTTTTTTCTTGTCCTGTCCTGGAAGTTGGTCATTAGGGTGCACAACGCGTCCCCCCCCCTCGCTTGGATGCGTACACGTTCGGCTCCGGGTTTTCGCAGATGCTGGGATGCCTGTACGGGCTGAACCGGGTTTTCGACAAGCTTGATAAGGTTATGGTCGCTCGACTCTCCTGCGCAACGGGCAATTACATGCAACAGAGGAGGCAGGCGCTCCGGATGTAGGGAAACCAAGCTAACCCCACGCCAATAGCATACACATAAAAAGGAAGTGTGCATGCTGGCTTGGAGAACTCGGAGGTGTGGCATTCGGTCGTTGTTTTACTTGAACGGTGCGGATTGCAAGAGATGCTTCTCGTTCTTCAGAAGACAGAAGACCAAGTTGGAGGTTGGACGCGGAGCACCTTGGGTGTGACGCAACCGATCTATCTTTGAGATGGGCGCGTTCCCGGCAAACATGCCCCAAACGAACGCGATGTACGCTCGATGACAAGCAATTGTATGCAACAAGGGAGGCAGGCGTTCGGGATATAGCGAAATGGAGCCAACCTTACGCGAACAACACATAGATGGGAAGAGTGCATGCTGGCTCTGGAGGAGAACTCAGAGGTGTGTCATTCGGTCGTTATTTTCCG